GTCAGGTCATATTGAAGTATGAAGTCGCCCTTGGGAAAAACGTTGTGGGCGTAGGGCAGCAACACATTGTCTAAAATTTTTGTGCAATATCGTTGCGGTGCAAGCGCACCTTATATGTGACGCTGAGGCCCGAGACCATGGAGGAAGCAAAAAACTTAGAAGAGGCCCTGACTTCACTCGTTGTGAAGCCGGAAGTCAGCCATATTGACTGGGCAAATTCTCCTCTTTTGTTTACATCTGAATGTAAAGCAGAAGGCACGACTCTCTCTCCGGCTCGAAAAGCATGTGAGCTGCGCAGCGCGCGTGTCGTGACGATCCGAAACTAATGGAACGGGGCTCAACACTCTGGGCCAGCGCGACGCCTTTGGAGAAATCATTTCCTCCGAGTATTAACAGCGAGTAACAGCTCGCCGACAACGAAGCAAGTACAAGAGAACGCACGCTAGATTGACTGACAACGGCAAGTGTTTTCACGTCATTATTTCAGCAACTGCAAAGAGAACACAATCTGTCGTGTGCCTTCTATAGTTGCATTCCGCCACGCGGCCGACACAGCGTCCGGCCTCTGTGCCCGTGTTCCGTGTGAAACTCACCGGCGTCGGCATTCTGCGACCGTGGTGACTTTGAGCACTGTGCAAGTGACACTTGAACACGGTTGCTCTAACGTTTAGATTACCAATGCTGGGGGCAAGCATAACAAGCGGAACAGAAAAGGTGTTTTAATTCGCATATGCAAGTTGTTACTGGGCACACACCAAACATGAAACTACGTATGTGCACATGGCCCTCATTGCGTCTTGCTGGGCTCTCAACAGTTTCGTTCATTGTCACAAGCAGGAGCACTGCCCAGCCGTCACTGACCTGCAAAGCGTTCGTTGTCCTTCCGCTTTGTCATGGTGCCTAATGCAATTTCGCTGAACACTTCAATTGCTTCATCCGCGCCATCTGCTGCACGTCGACACATGGATATGTGCTCGTTCTACGCACTGTTCAGGCCCCATGGTGCACGAAAGGTTTTGTAAACGTTGCTAAGAGTACAATAACTGCTAGGAGAACACTGCGTAAACAATAACGCGGCGCAGAGCACGGATATTGTCTGCCATGGCTCAGCATGAGACCTGCGGAGGCATACATGCCGCCACCAGCCACCGCCGCTCACTGCTAGACCAGCTACGCTGCGCAACGTGTAACCATATCAACGCCTCCATTGTGCTCGGTGAATATGGTCGCCATGATGTCATTTCCTCCACAATTTTCACGTAGGGCGCCGGCTGGGCATGCCTTCTCCTATCTTTCCTTCCTTCGTGCCCGAGACTATGCCTCGATACCGCGCCCCACACGTTCACGCAGGTTCGGCCACTCATGCCGACTCCCTGCTCATTGGCTTGCTCATAACTGCATAAAAATCATATTATTGACCATCCTTCACAAAATCTAATGACCATTAAAAAAAATTTTCTTATGTGTTTCTGGTTCTCCAAGCTCGCATCCGTTGGTCTTGACGAGTTGTAAATGTCGACTCGTCCAAGATCATTCGGCCCCAGTCATCTGCCGTCCATGAGGCATATAATTCGGCAAACTGGAGACGGGCCTTGTTGTTTGAAGCAGTGACGAGTGGCTTTCGAGCAGCTATCGAATTTCGCAGTCCAGCTCTTCGGAGGCGTCGCCAGACCGTAGAAAGCGAAGCGCCTACATCTAACTATTCCCGCACTTGCCTTGTGGACTGGAAAGGGTTATCGACAATAGCAGCTACCATGAGCGCATCGTCATCCTCTGTTGTTGCCCTTGGTCGAGGCTTGTGTGGGGCATCACAGAGTCGGCCTTCCTTAGTGAATGACTAAATAATTCTGTTGACGGTCTTTAGTGGCCTGTTCACAAGAGCACCGATGGAGCCCTGTAAATGTCCCTTGAGCCAATATTGTATGATCTTCCACCTCTCTTCTTCAGGAACGTAGGCCATGCTGAAATTCACTTGCTGCTCTGACAGATGCGGTAATGTGCAACAATACATATACGCTCTTCAAAGACAGAAGTCGCTTTTTAAATATGGCCACAAGTGTCATGCGCATGCGGGGCCTGGCTACAGATCATATGGTCTTGAGAAAAAAAGTCACAGCTTTGCCGCAAAAGTGAAGCAATGAATGCGATAGCAACAAATGAGAAGGTCACGCGCAGAATGGCGAGCAGATCGAAACTTGCCCTGCGTATCTCATGCTCAAATGGCGCACGAAACATATTCACAGCTACACAGATGAACATGAATAAGCGTCTCAGTTATTACTTCGCTCTGTCTCAAAAGTGCGCCCTTTTCGCAAACAGATGCTGTGCAATGATTGCAGTGACCTTTGTGCACCTCATAACTACAACAGAATCGTTCCAGTCAAGCCCAACGCGAACCAGGATGTATGATCCTCTCCACCAAGAGATAAGGGCGCTCGAGAGATTGTCCACTCCCCTTCTCTCTTCGGGCCAAAGTATGCATGAGAGTTGAGAACCGCTGCGCGCTCACTGCGCCATTTTGCTGATAATGCTAAAAACGCGATAGTTCCCCTTCGAGATACCCGCCAACAGCGGTAAGTGGTAGATATAAATAGCTTGCTGTAATATGTTGAAGGACGTACCCCTCGGTGGCTCAGTGGTTAACGCCTCGCATTCACCACGCAGAGGTCCCACGTTCGATTTCGCGTGCCGGAGTCTTTTTTCTGGGTTTTTGTCTTTCTTGCGTTTCCATATATGTAGATACGTATTCATATATGGCCCATGACATCGACGCAAATGCCGGCGGCGAAATCCAGCAGAGAGTGTCTATATAATTGTTATCGCAATAAAAAAAAGCATTACATATATTTTGAAGTTAATTGATGAATCATGTGGAGCGCAGTGAGAAGTCACACACTTTCACTAATCCTGAACTGTACGCCTATCTTACTGCGGTACGCACGCAGCAGACAACGTGCTCTTTCTTGCGTGACTTGTGCATGCCAGACACACTGCACATGAGCAATGCTGTTCGTTGCCGCCGCTGAAACGCGCTGTGAGCTCGGAAGGCCACGCGTTCTAGTGTTCACCCTCAAAAAGATTGCAAATGTACATGGCCAACAGCCAGGCATGGATGACCTATAGCAATTTTTGGAGACTGGGCCAGGGAATTCAACCGGAACATGGGCAGGCAAGGCCGAAAGATGTGTCTGTTTTTAGACAATTCTTCCGCGCATGCCATTGAGGGCAAAAAGCTCGAAAACATGCAGCTCAAGTTTCTGCCCCCGAACTGCACGTCCATCATTCAGACGCTTTACCAAGGGGTCATCCAAAGTGTAAAGAGCAATTATCAAAGGTCTTATTGAAAGGCTGATTTTGAACACTCGGACGGGACGCGAGACGAAAATCGACCTGTTCATGGCGCTCCCAATGATTGCTGCTTTGTAGTGCGAGATGGGGAGCGCTGCAGTCGGGAACTGCTTTCGCCATGCCGGGTTCGCAGTGCATAGGGCCAGGACATTGGTTTCTGTGACTTAAGCTTGCAATGAGGACGAATTGCCCGACGAAGCAATTGCAGTCGCATGGGCAGGCCTGCAGGAAAGTTACGTGCCTGCCTATGTGGATCTTAATAAGTTCCTCCAAGCCGACGCGGACTTGGTGCGCGAGGAAGTCACTGATGAAGACATCGTAAAGAGGGTACAGAAAGAGAGTGCTTTTTCAGATGAATATGAGATAACTGCGCAACGTGATACCATGCTACCATTGACTTCATCGGTGCTGGATGCAAGTTTCCCTGAACTTGTGAAACAAAAAAGTATTAGAGGGCTAGCTCAGAAAAGTGTCAAGGTTCTGAAACAGTGCTTGGCAGGATCATAAACTGTCATATCCGAAAGGTGTCTTAAAGGTAAACATACTATTTTCCAAAATCAAAATTTCTGAATGTTGTGGGAATTGAGGTTAGCCCGCTGCCTTTGCGTGGGCTTTGCCGCCTTTTCTGCCGTTCTCATGTCCAGACGTGTCTCCCCCCTCAGCTGTCTGCTGCGCTAGGAGACCGGGGTGACGTTTAACCCCCTCACCCGGTAGAGGATGTTGACTGTGGCGCAGTGCACTGAGAGGTTTTCGCGCCCTGCGTCGAGAGCGGGCAGATACTCTCCGGGACAGCAGACGGTGAGCCATGCAATCTTTTCGCCCGTCAACCCCCGTCGCTCGGGTCTTGTCGGACTTCGCTGACGGCGCCTCGCGCCCGAGGCGAAGGCTCACCTTTTGTTGCCCCACTGCGTACGCACGGCCGAAGGGCGGCACGGTGTCCTAGTGCGTGGCCTAGCTATGCCAACCCGTCTCCCTCCGAAGCCAACGCGAGCGTCTTTGCCCTCGCTTGACCAACCGGGCCTTGGTCCCGGTGTCTCCTCCGTGGATCACCTTTACCACGGAGACGTGCTCGTGGCACCCTGTGTAGTACTTTTACGCCCGTGGTGTGGATAAGTCCATTTGCTTTCCCGCCGCGACTTTGCAACGGGCTGTACTGCGTTTGGTGTTGCCACAGACAATAAAGTGTTGCGACTTTGAGTAGTATCGTGTTCTCGCCACGGCGACGGTTAACGGGTGCCTTGTGCTCGCTAAGACCGGACCCACGCTAGTGCCCGTACTCCTTCGGGATACATGTCACTACAAAGTTTACCGTGTGTAATTGGCGCACCCAGATCTTGGAGCTGGATTTCCTGGGAAAAAAGTGCGTCCAATACACGAGTAAATACGGTATTTGACAGAGATCTATCTGACTTGATAAAATTGCATGAATGAACAGACCGTCCAGCCACATTTAGAGTGATTTGTAAATTCGATAGATTCAAAGCCAGCCAGACGGTCACTCCCTAAAGATATCGAAAGGGTCTTGAAATGTTCAGCCAGTTCTTAATTTTAATAATAAAAACTGTAGCCTAATTGTGGCTGGAGGGTCTGTTAATTCGTACAATAGAAAGATGGATGAATAAGTTATAATACACTTATTTTTCTCTTTATAGTTAAACCAAATTTTTACAGAAGGAACATCTTGATGATTGCCAAAACTCTTTTGGAACTAAATCGCAAAGAAGAAGCAGTGACTTACCTAAAACAATGTGTCAACACTCCCACGAAAGCTACAGAAGATGACAAAAAGGTATGCTTTGCTTTCTTCTGCTGTAGTGAAATGCCTGAATGTACTACCATCTCCTGCAGCCTTTCTGCACACATTCACGTAGACCACAGCATTAGATCATGTTCGTCTGCCAGTATGTAAAACACTACATGCTGTGCACAATTTCCTTGCTGAAAAACTACATATTTTGAGGATGTTTGGCATGCAGCACTCTATTACCTTTTTTTTTGATGGCTGCAGCTGATCAGTAATTTCGATTTTAATCTGCCAATTTGCTTTTACGAGAACAGTGACAGTTAACTAGATAATTGGGTCAATCCTTACAATCTGTCCGAGCTGGCTGTGTGCCAGTCTCCAGTTATTACTTTTCTTTATTAAATATATAGTTAGTCTGAAATAAAGTGCTTCCTCGGAATTTCTGTGAAAACGAGGGCACTGCAAGTTTGTCCATTTGGTGACATGCTGGGTTGCAGAAAAAAAAATCCCCCCAAAGTTGAAACTGTCTTTTACTCTATTACATTGTTTGCACTATTCTGTGGGCAGACGAAGTTCTGTACCAGAATTACTATACAACACCATTTTATCTTTTTTGTGGGTGATTTACTTGTAAAAATTACAAAATTAGGGAATCTTTCAGGCGTCGTCTACGAAAAGAAAACTGCTGGCAACGCCTATAAAATGCTGGCAGTGCCTATCGTCAGCCAAAAGTTTATTTGTTCAGGTTCTTACGCATAAGCCAGGAATTATGCTGGAATCGTACAATGTAGCACTGTGGCCTTTGTTTGTGCCGTAGCAGTTATTTACAAAAAGGTAGAGCAATGAGCCATTATAGAGAATGACAAAAAATATGTCATAAATTTAGAGAGCGTATACAGATGCCACGGTGTTCTCCAGTGATTATGGTGCTCGGCTGTTGACCCGAGGTCACGGGATCGAAACCTATCCACGGTGATCACATTTCAGTGGAGGTTAAATGCTAGGGGTTAATGTGTTTATTGAATTTAGCTAAGCACATTAAAAAACAGGTCGAAATTTCCAGAGACCTGCACTATGGCATACCTAAATCACTTGGTAGTTTTGGGACATAAAACCCAAACCAAATGTAGACCCAACATTCACAAAAAATTCTATTTGGTCAGGCTGCATTGCACAATTTTATAGTGGAAGCTTGATTGATGCGCAGTGAACTCAAATATGAAAAGCTATATTCACTGTGCCAAAAATAAGTATCAAAAGACGTGGTTGCAAATCAAGATTTGTAGTTCTTGAAAGCTTTTAGCAGACTTTCTATGTAATCTAGTCTTTGCATGAATGTGAAGGGTAATTATATGAATATACAATCACTGTACAAAAACGAATAGCATAACTGACTTGTGGAGAGTGCCAAAGTGAAAGCACAACACTGTACTTGAGTGCACTAGTGCATTGAGAGTAACAAGCACATTCCGTTTTCTCTAGCAGAGCAGGCTGGTAGCAACCAACCCATTATTATAAAGTTTGCAAGCTTCGCCAGCAAATGGTAGGTTGAAACGGAATTATGAAAAAAATAGCTGCTTAGAAAGCGAGCTTTGAAAACACAGAGGGAGAGAAAGAGAGACAGACAAACAGACAGGTTCGTGTGTGCAGCCACAGTACCACACAATTCTGTTATGAAGTATGGTAATGTTCAGATGTATCTACCAGGTGGGCTTTAAAAAAGGTTGCTTTCTGCCAGCCAACATTACGTGGAAAAATGAAATGTGCAATTTGGTTACTCTGGCCGCCAATCGCATGTGCTAATCTTTTTTCATGGAGCCTACAGATGACGTCTTTCTTTGTGCAACGTAAACATGTTCAAGCTGTCCCCCACATCCCCAGGCTGAAAGCACTCATATATTACAAAACTTCTAAGAGATAGCAATTGAAGCTAGAATATATTTAACAAACAAGTTGCCATGCATAGAACAATGCATAGAACATGCATTGTCATATTGTGTAATATTGTGGCACTGCAAATTGAGCAAAGCCAACAAAATCAGGGAAATGATCTTCAGTTGGAACACATTAAACGATGTCACAAGTTTTGTGGGCTGGCTTTGAGGATGATTAGCTGTAATATCTCTATGCAACAACCCTGCATACTTGCAATGGAACCTCAATGGAGTGTTCTTATGTGGATATTTTCATGCTAAAGCTTTGCCTCAGAGGGTTATAAAACAGGCATAGTGGATGGCATCTTCTGTAAACATTGCAAGAAACTCTGGCAATTAGTGTCCCTGGAGCATCAGCTAGAGATTGTGTCAAGCAAATATTCATCAACGAGTGCATATCTAGAGATTGTGTCAAGCAAATATTCATCAACGAGTATTCAAATTGTAGTGGCTTCTTGACTCATGTTGTAGGTTCACACATCTCATTATGTGTAGCCTTTTTGTAGCATTATGTATAACTTTACCATCATCAAAACATTGTTCAAATTATTCATGGGATGGTAATAACAAGGGAGACTGCATTCATTTTTTTATGGTGGTTTTCATACGTGTGGTGCTGAAACTGCAGCACCAATTACACCAAGAAATGCCAAAATGTGATGCACCACAAGGTTGCTCTTCACATTTATTGTACCACTCCTGCTTTGATGCTCATATGATTGGTGTAGTTTCGACACTACATGTTCTACTGTCTCTGTCACTTAACTAATTTTCAGCCTAACATAAGGGTGGGCTTAAAATGACTTTCAAAGAAATCCTTTCAAGTGCCATTGCAGGCATAGTGACCACTCAAATAAAATGCTGAATAATTTATAAAACCAAACGAGCGTAACTTATCTAAGCTGTTGCCCAACTGGTTAGTATGATCACATGCCTATTCTTGTACATGCATTAGCACCTTCTGGAATAAATGTGAAGGGTTTTGAAGCGGCTTCGCACAAGAAGTTGCATATGTAGCTGTACCACTTCCTTTAGGTGTGATCTATGGGGTTTCACAGGGTCGGAAAAAGTTTGCCATTATGGTAGGTGTGGGGAATTTCAGAATGATTGAAAGAGGCCAAAAAGAGCTTTTGAAAGATTTTGCAAAGACTACAAGAGGGGTATTTTCTCCATCTGGTAAAGACAGTTTTTCTGCCTGCAAAATGCTTTACACTAAATTACCCCCTTCCCTCCCTTTTTTTTAAATCTTCATCGATATGATGCATTCCAATTTATAAGGATCATAATATTTGCAGTGTGTGGAGGTTTGCATAGACCGAACTGCCTTCCCCAAGTTAGAAAAGATGCCAAATTTATGCCGCATCACTTTTCATTTCATGAGAGTCTGCGTTAAAGATCTAGTCACACATTTTACACCGTATTTACAGGCCTATTTTGTATGTACAGGTTCAAAATATGTACATTGAAAGTTCTTAGCAGCTATATGACAAATTGATTTTATTTGCAATTGTGTTGTGGGAGACCAAAGAAAATGCTGTAAAAACAGCTTGAGAGGACTTGGCTGCCTTATGCACACAATGGCAATATATTGGTTAAGAGGAAAATGATAGAAGAAAAAAATTACAACACATTTTACATTCTGAATTGCTTTGTGATGCCATATTGGCCTTTGTTGCTGTCACTAAAACATGACAAGATTGGATTTTTTTTTTATTCTTCGCCAGAAATAATCTTTGCTAAATAGTTCTCAAATGCTCAACCAGTTTCTTCTGTGGCTCTTTAAACCCCTTAAAGGAGCACCGGCATCAAATTTACTCATGTCAATATTTTACCACTTCTCCACAGAAAAAAAGTGACGTCAGGCCCTGCTGCTCCGTAAACATTTCGTCTGCTAGGGGCACACATTCAGTCATGCCTTGTCACCTGCACCGTCATCGTCGCCGTACAAAATGTTGACTAGGGTTGAATACGACCATCTGGAGCTTAGACGTCGTGAATCATTTTTGCTTCGATTGACCCTTTGCATAACAGCTATTCCAAAATGGTTGCCATTCCAAGCAACAATGAGGAGGTGCCCGAGCATGCATGCTTCGGCCATGCTCGCCCATGCGTCTAAATTAGCTATATTGGTGTGTGTGTTGTTCTGCACAGCATTTAAGTATACGCAAAGGAGTCAGTGGAATAGCGGTATAGGGGAAGCGCACCAGCGGGGAAATAATTGAAAATACGTTCCCTGCTGCCAGGTTTTTTTTTTTGCGCCTTCAGATGGCCCCACCTATCCTGCCTCTCACCGTGGCGGAGGCAGTAACTCGGTATTACGCGGACGCAAAGAAGTCTATGGAGAAACTAAAAATCACTAATAACGATACCTGCGTGTTACTTCTTTGCGATTATATCTCTTTATACGCCACTCCACTTCGATAGCGTGTTGTCATGTTTGCGTATAACATACGCATAATGAAGACACCCTCATTGCGCTTTTTCCGCGCTTCAACTGCAACTCACAACGGTTCTCCGACACCCTGACTGACCAGGACACGTTGAATCATGATCTTTTCTTTAGCCGATCTTTTATCGGCGGCTTGCATCTTGGTAATTTCACGAAATCATTCAAAGCGGTGCGACGAAGATCAGACATGGCGAGTGAGTGCGTTTCCAGGCTTCGGCGCCCATCGAATCGTAGACGTCCTCGCTACTAGTGCGTCACTCAGGATGGTATGCATGGAATGTATCACACTGAACGCGTAGCACTAGTGTTGATGTCGCAGGGGCACTCCATTTTGCATTGTTTGCCGTCTAAATAAAATAACTTCCACGCTACAGACGTGATTCAAAATTGGCCTAGAGGACCTATGCACACTGAGAAATCAAATGTACATCTCGATTTTTAAATGTGATGTCAGTGTTCCTTTAAGGGACCCATGACAGCAAAATTTTCGTTAGACTTTTTTTTTTTGCTTGTCTGGTAATGTCAAAATCAAATTGTAAATGCCATTTAATTTCAAAATCAATGCTAGTGTCACTAATTGTGACCAATTTTAATGTCATGTCTGAACGCCTGCCTAAAATTATAAAAACTAGTGCCCCTGCAGGGGAGCACCTGTAACCATGTGTGGTCAAATCTTCGGTGATGCTGAAAGTGCAGTTTTCAAATCTGCTTTGGGAAGAATGAAATGGGTGCTTTGGGCATGTCCCCCTCAAAAAAAAGTAGCATTGCTGGCATAAGAAGCCAAAACCACATAGAGAGCAGCCCAACCACAGAGTGAGAGGGGCTATTAGTTACAGTAGCTCTTGTTTGGTACCTGTCGTGGTTTCGTGTCCACCCCATAAATGTTCAACGACGTCAACAATACTCTTTTTTTTTTTTTTTTACGGAATGTCACAAGAAGCCTCTGTCGAAGTCATATTAGTGGCAATGTCACAAGGTGCTCAAAATTCAGATGAACACTTATGCTTACTTTAGAACCAAATTAAAATATCTTAAAGGCAGCATTCATTAGTCACAATTGGTCTGAAATGCCCGCACATGCAGGACTATCAAACAACACATACGTCTCGAGTTTTCAAATTTCGTGCCAGGAGTCCTTTAAGTGTTGTGGTTTTGAGCAGTTTGGCAAAAGTGCTTTTGTATGTATAGTAATTGTACTGAAAATGCCAAGAGTCTGCTGCTGATCTATGTCAGTACCGAAGACTGATGCAGTGGATATGTGGGTGCTGAATTTAAAAATTTTGCATATTTATGTATATATATACATGCACAAATAAAGGGTGGTTGACCAGCCTCACAAAAACTTTCCTCGAGTTGCAGATGTCTGGATGTCTGAGAAAAGGCTTGAACATAAATAATGTGAAGCTTTTTCTTTGAGAAATTATTATACTTGTGCTTCTTCTATTTTGCCCAATACTACTTTAGAAATTTAATAAAAGCTGTATATTTGGAATTTTTGGAATTACTGTTAATTTACCGTATAAGGAAAGCAGTGTGTAGTGGATGCACTCGGTCTGAAGGCATAGATAGCGGCAAGCTTTTCTGGCAAGCAGTTACATTTGTGTTGCCACTAGCAAAGTCGATGTTGAATAGTTCGCTGAATTGTGCAAGCACTTGCACAAAGCTGTAGAAGAGCATAAGCTGTGTGCTTTTGTTTTCCCAGTATCATGTGCCTTTGACAATTTCCGACATTAATCTGTGTCCACACCATCCAAGTTACCTGCACAGGTATTTTATTTTTAACCAATTTAACAAAGCATACTTAGTAACTGTGTGTACCACTTATCCTTTTATAGAAGTCTGTATCTGTTTATCATAACAAATAATAAACTTTAATTTTGCACTGACTGAATAGATTATACATTTTTACCTTTGCATTTTTTTTCTTTTGCAGCATAACAATTCATGCATGACTGTTAGCTTCTACACTAGCATTGCCCATCGCACCCACCTGTATGTGGCTGCTAAAAAGGTTGCTTTAAAACTTGGTATTTTACTTCTTGTGAGGTGTGACCAAGTTATGTCACTTGACATTAGATTTTATTTTAATACTTCCTCTTGCAGGTGTCCGAAGAGGCCCAGCAGTCACTGAAGAAGTTGGGCATATCATAATTCTGCACTGTCCAGGAATGTGTTTCAGATGTTTCAAGAGGCATAGTATTATAAGCTTGGTATATAGTGTTCCAAGGTTATGAAATAAAGACCAAGTATTGTTTGTTAACAAGCTTTTGTTTTTACTAAAACAACTCTACATTTACATTTTTCACAATTATTGCTAAAGTTGTGTTCTTGTTTTTGTGTGCGTGTTGTGTTGGTTGTACGAGACAGGCACCTGCACGCACAATATACCTATAAGACAAAAACAATTGAAACACCAGAGCACAGTGCCTATTTCACACACTCCTTGTTACATGACATGGGTCTAATAACACACAAGATGCACGACTTTACACCACACAGAGTGGGATGGGTTGGGGAGTGCACAGAGGTAAGCTTGCCTTTGACAACCTAGTATATACAAGCACTTGTGTTGCGCCCTTCATGAAACTAAGCACAAGCCACTTTTGGGTCAACCCATGTTCATTTTAAATGCACGAGCAGAAACCACACCGGCAAAGATGACCACTCGAATTCTCCATTAGGGGAAACGTGCAGTGGCACACTTTCACATTGGCTTTGCAGTCCTCATCCAAACCACTTCTTTCTTATAAACAAGCTCTAAAACCACTAGTGATGTGGCCAAGCCTTTCAAGCTGTGCCTACTGACACCTCAAACAAACAAACAAACAAAAAGACAGTGCCTGCACTGCGACCACAACTTGTAAACAGCTTTACACAATAGGTACAGTTTCTTTGCACAACAGAAGCCCACACACAAACTTTCATGTGTCTGTATGCATAAGGAATGTGACAAACACCTTTGAACTTCCACCACTATGCCTACAACTTTGGTGTACAGCGTCACGAAGGTTACAGTGAGTAAAGAAGGAAAGAGGACAGCTTTTTGTACTAACAACTTGCTTGGTTTTGACCATGAGTTTACTTTGTTGTGCTGTTCATAGGGCATCCTCTTCTCTGTGTATGCCATATTTTGGACTGTGTGGAAAGCTTAAAGGAGCTACACATTCCATTCCAAAGCAAGCCTCACAGAAGACACGATTATGTGATGAATACAGTGACAAGTGAAAGTGCACTAACATTAAAATACATGACCAGGAAGTGTTAATACTTTTCCATGAGAAATACAAGATTAATCAATGAATTAGTTTCTAGCTGCCATTTTTCAACCGTAGTGCCATGAAAATGCAATGCGAAGAAAATTGAATGGTAGTCATTTGAAAGAAGCAGTGCTCATATTTTTGAATAAATCATGCAAAACTCCTAAAACTTTGGTGGTGCTTCTGGTATGCAATACTGATTGCACTATAGCCTCTCCAGAAATAAAATAATTTTCTAGCCTATGCCTTCACAACTTAATAAGTCATAGCTATCAGATGTGCCGATGAAACTTTTTTTTTGTCCCCCTCAAAGGAAGTATATGCTAAGTAATGCCTGTGAGCGTCTCTGCCATTTGTAGGCATCCAACGGGTAACAACAGCCAAATATGGAAGAAACAAGTGTGGCATGGTCCCCCCAGGAATGTGATCCACCTACTGTAGGATGGCTCTGAGTATTCTCGGTTCTGGGAGATTGTCACGGAAGCATCTCTTTTCAACAAAGTGTGCAGCACTTGGACGCGAGTTTCACATCTACTACCCCAGACTGACTTTTGCTGCGGCCTTTTCGGAATCCATTCTGGTTGATGTCCAATTGGGGCTTTAGAGCTCCTGCCCCTGGATTGTTGGAGGCACTATTTCGGCTTCCGTTGGGGACTAGCTTGGCAAGGCTGCTTCCAAGGCGTGACCGGCTGCTTTGCATCTCATCACGACTGGACTTACGCCCAAGGCAGCTTAATCCTGCAGCAAGGCTGAAGCTATTAGAGATTCGTGGAGTGTCAGCAGATATCATTTCTTCTACAAGGACTACATCGGCACACTGGACAGCTGATGACGATGCACCTTCATCAATTTTAGACGCAGGAGATTCTTCTATTGTTAAGTCACCACAAGACACAGAGTTAGTGAGCCGTGGAGCTGGATCTGGTAGAATGTCCAAGCTATCGGTGCTGTCGGCCGAGTAGCCCTCATCATGAGCATGTGGTGATGGAAGGACACTGCCCGATGGGCTTCCCTGGAGTGGTGTGTCACCTTTTGCTGTGGGAGCATGGCGGCGTTTGTCACCTTCCTCGTCATCAGAGCTACTGCAGCTTGTCGTTCGATTGCGACCAGCTACATGCACACGTAGCTTGTTCACTCCTGACCACACACGAATGTCACCTGCACCACCCAGCAGCTGAGGGGAGCTCTTGACTGCATGGAGGCGCCGGCCTGGAATGCAGCGCAGCCGCACAGTGGGTGATTGTCGTTGGGGAGCACCATCAGGCATTGGAGGAGAGGGTGCACTGGGGGCTGTGGGCAGGGAAAGAACAGGCCGCACAGCTCGTTCATCTGACTCCAATGACTCATTTTCCTCTGAAAAAACAGCACCTCGGATGGGCGGCGAGTGGGAAGGAGCAAGTGAAGACAGGTCATCTTCTTCACGCACTATGCTGCACTTTCTCCCCAATGGCAGACTGGACCTTGGCACAGCCAGGGATGAGTCATCTTCAGGAGGGCCTGACGACACACTGAGCAATGAAGCAAGGGGATGGCCCACAGAGGGATCCAGCGCAATACTTGGCAGGCCACCTGGGGAGCCCAGCACTTGAGCTACATTTGGGCGTTCCTGTGCAGGTGATGGTGCTGCCGACGACACACTGCACAAAGAAACCTGGATTGAGCTTGATGCCATATGTCGGCAAAAGTGGTGGAGCTCACTCAGACTCACGCATAAAATATATTCTGTGATTTTAACTCACTCATACTTGAGCTCACCAAATTTTCCTGAGCCGAGCCAAACTTACTCGAACTCAACTGAAATTTTTTTCAACCAGACTCACTCGGACTCAGATTCACGGCGCGATTTGAGTTTCAGTGAGTCCACTCGTTTATGTCAATGTGCTTTAAACGAATATCTCACTTAATTGGTGCTCTTCATGGTGCCTTTTGATATTACTACTTTGGAATATGAGTTGAGTGGTCGCAAAGGAGTAAGAACATTTTTCTTGAAAAAGACAACATATCAGAGCCCTTCAGTACCTTTACTGGTCACGAAGCTTTGGCGAAAGTTTGATATAGAGACAGGAGCAACCGCTAGTGGCACCCTCGCCCACAGCGGGGCATCAGAGCGGCCATAGAACTGTAATTGTACGGCACACGTTGAAGCTGTGAAACGTTATTAAATGTAGCCGTGAAAGATGAATACGTCTTCAGAGTGATGTTACCTTCGAAAAAATTTGTGAAAGCTCTAATACAGTGAAATTTAGCATCGATTGAGGCCCTGAAGCTAGAAATCCAACGGCATGCTGATTCCGCTGTAAGATATGCTACCGCTATAAAAGCATATTTTTTTTCCTGAAGCATCTAGGGAACATTTGTGTACAATTTATAGAGTTCTTCAACGACTCTGGTGGTTCTTAACGTGCCGCGGAAGTGCAGCGGTTGCAGCTTTCAACAGTGCATATTCAACCTTCCAGGCTATATATACATTCGGTGTTTCTATATATGAAAATATATACCTTAAAATTGCCTCGCACTTATTAAAACAACGGCCACTTAGAATGAATCAGTGCTTTTAATTTAACAAATGATGAGGATCAAGCAATATTTCTTATGACATTTACCTCAATTTCGCGTTTTGTTTTGCATTTATTTATCACAATTGTGCCGTAGCGCGTTCTAAGTTTGGTTGGCCATGCAATGTAGTTTCTCGGTCCTTCGCTCTGCTATGTAACTTACTTATGCTGTGTTTTTCGTGTCTTTTATTATTTTTACTGTAAAGACGAAAGCCTTACTCAAACATGAAAAGCAACTGACTGCGTTTCGCCCCGGGGGCATCAACATGTGACGCAAAAAAGTTATCTTCTCATGCTCGTGACGCATCGATATCGAAAACTAACTTTGCACACTTTTACAGCTTGTGCGAGTTTTTTACAGCATTGCAGTGCAATCGCTTTTGCACTATCACCCTAGCAAACATCTATTGGTAGCGCTGAATCTCTGCTGCATGCATCGGATGGGTGCTTTGATTTTTTTCAAGCTGTGAGGAGCTGCACGTAGCTCCGCCTGTTCGACATATCACCTCTACACTTTTGGTCATCTTAGTGCCTGTATAAATGAAAACGGTGAGTGTTTCACTCATTTGGCTTCTGTGTACGGCATAGAACGAGGAAGAGGCGGCCGGTATGGTTACCTTCCATAAATGGGTCATTATTCATTGCAGCTATATCAAGAGGGCTCATGCACAGTCCGATGCAGCCTAAACAATCTCCAGCTTCCCGTCGATGCTTGATAGGTGGGCGAGCTCTGCATCTTTTTGTACTATACAAATAAGCTGTTAGGCAATTGGAAAACCTTGGCACAACATCGGCAAGCTTTGGAACGTTGCGCGATGACTTGTCAACAACACCTTTGATTAGCAACTGGCCCACGCGAACGATGTCACTCTCATCGAAGTGCTTTTCGCACACGTGCACATTCGGGGAAACAAATGTGAACCACCAGTTTCTTGTCGCGGCATTGCGCGCTTTCACTTTTCCCGCCGATCACTGTAGGCAGCAAAAACAAGGAGACTTTTTCGTCATTTCTTTTGTAACCGTATCGACAACCAGCAGGTATACGGTATCCTTCCCGATCT